GAGAGGGAAACTGAATTTTCGTTCACCCATAAACAATTTTATGGAAGATTTTAAAGGGGATTTAAAGAAGAACCTCTTCCCTCCCTCCCCCCTTCTCAACTGTACTGTGCATTTTAAACTGTTTGCGGAAGGGAATTAATTAGTGCAGGCAGCAGAGCCCAAAGCTCTGCAGCAGCCCCTCTTCTGCACAATTGAGACCCAACATTTTCTCCCCTGCCCGAGAAACACATGCCCAAAATCCAAGTACATACATTTTTTCTAACCTAATTCATTTTGTAGATTGATGGAGAAAATCCATAGCAAATATTTATGACTTTGCAATAAATAACCCTCACAGAAGTTACAAAGAGCTCTGGCGAGTCTCAAGGTAACTTTCAGCAAATTCCAGGGGTCAGGGCAGGCTGGGATACTGAGCCCATAGTGCTCGAGCCTCTGGCTCATCTGTTTTGAATTATTGGTATTACTCGGCGGAGCGCTGCTCTCAATGGAGCGGCTGTGCCGGGATTCCACGCCGTATTTTATTCCTGTGGCGGGAGGGAGGCTTCAATAATTATTAGCTGTGCTCTGCTGCAGCCAGCAAAGAGCCAGGCCCCAGCCAGGAGGGCTCGGTGCGGGAGGTGTCTGTGCCCCAGTGTGACCCGCGTGGGACGCGGTTCTGGGGCACGGCGCGTCTGCTGCCGCCTCGGAACGATGCTCGGGGGGCTCCGGCGCTGCCCCAGAGCTGCTGGCTCGGAACGATGCTCGGGGGGCTCTGGTGCTGCCCCAGAGCTGCTGGCTCAGAACGATGCTCGGGGGGCTCCGGCGCTGCCCCAGAGCTGCTGGCTCAGAACGATGCTCGGGGGGCTCCGGTGCTGCCCTGGAGCTGCTGGCTCAGAACGATGCTCGGGGGGCTCTGGTGCTGCCCCAGAGCTGCTGGCTCAGAACACGGAGCTGCCGAGGTTCCCAGAGGGCTCCGGTGCTGCCCTAGAGGCAGCAGTGCCCGGAGATCCCATGCAAGTGGCCGAGGATGCTCCGGGCCCGCGGGAGCCAGCGAGGCACAGCGGGCACTGCCGGGGAGCTGGCCCTTCCCGGGAGCCCTCCCCGCTCCATCTTCGTTAGCTCTTAATCAGCGCGGCGGAAGGAGAAGCCTCTGTCAGCATCACGCTGCTCTGCCGGGCGTGGGCTCCTTTCAGGGCTTTCAGAAAACGGGGTCAGACGTGTCTTCTGACCTGTGACCTGTCGCTTCCCCGCTCGCCGTAATTATCTAATACAGCGCTCTCCCTGCCGAGTACAATGAAACAATTTGTCACTTCGATTGTCTGTCAGTCAACACTGGGGCCTTTTCAACAGGCCAACACATGTTTTTTGAGAGCTTGTCAGCAAGGGCTGTCTGGCCAGGCACATAACCATGGAAAATGGAACCTTTGTTAATACTGGTTCTTAGAAAAGTAAATCCATTCACTTGTTTTTTTCAGGCCTTCAGTTTGGAATTTGCACAAGAAGCTGAATTGCCCCTGATCCCTAAATGATTGGTCAGAGGATTTGCATGAGGAAGCAGAAATTAATTATTCTTTTCTTTTCTTTTTATTTTCTGTAATTGTGTGTTTAGAAATGAGATTACATTCTACAGCAGCACGAGGGGCTGGGGTGGGGGGGGAATTGCTTTGCATTTGTTTAGCTCCTTAGAGTTAAGATCACCTAATCGTTTCAAGCATTTCCTAAGATTCCCTCTCTCTTTTTCTGCTTTAATGACCAAACAAAGATTGTGCTACTTCCCGGGGAACTTTTCTGGCAGCTGAGCTCAGCAGTGGGAGCCAGGGGCTTATCCCTCTGCCCAAGCAGCCTTAGAATCACAGTCCCTAAGGTTGGAAAAGACCTCTGAGATCACCCAGTCCAGCCTTAACTAACTCTACACTGCCAAGGTCTTCTGGCTGCTGTCAGGACAAGGACCTGCCAGCTCCAAGCCCTGCAGTCACACTCCTGTTCAGACAACAAAACTCATCACCCTGTTAATACCACAGATGGGTAGAGGAAAATAACCTTCATTTTTTGGGTGCTACTTTTGGCTTCCTTCTGGTGTTTTTGGTGGATTTTTTTGTTGTTTGTTTGTTTGTTTGTTTGTTTGTTTCTTTTTAAAGCAGCACCCTTTGAAATTCTCCCTTACTCTGTTGATACACATGTGAAATCTTATTCCTAAGTATTTAATACAAAATAGATACCTCCATTTTCAGGCACTCATAATTTTTTTTGCCATGTGGAAGCTTGGGTTTTGGGCAGACATGGAATATTTTAGTTGAGAGCGTTGCAGAAATGCTGGATGGCCTCTACCTGATTACAAACACCCTGAGTGAAAACCTCTCCAGGATCTGGCTTTCTAGAATACCCCTGTCCCAACCTAATCCAAACCATTCAGGGGAGCCCTGGCTTAGAATCTTTCAAGCCTATAAAACGAAAACAAATTGGCTTTGCAAGCGTATCTCCCAATCTGAGCTGTGCCTGTGAGTTTGGTTTGTCCTCTTGGATCTCTGCTGCGCTGGGTGGCCTGAAAGCCCCTTTGTTCCGAAGCGCTGCCGTGCCCCCGGTGAGCCCCGAGTGTCTCTGCGTGGGCAGGCTGGAAAGCTCCGTGCCCACGGGCACAGCGTGGCCCTCCAGCACCTCGGCTTCACCCGTGGGTCTCACAGGGGTAGAGGGGCCCCTTCCCGTGCCCCCCACGCCCCTCCCCAAGGACGGGATCCCACGGGACGGGCTGGGAGGAACAGAGCCCTCGAGGGCAGCCTGGGTTTGTGGGAGGTGGGTGAGCCCCTCGGGGTCAGCTGGGGCTCTGCAGGCTGGAGGCAGAGCCTGGCTCTCTCCTGAGCACAGCAATTTACTGCCCTGCTTTATGATTTTGGGGACGCTCGGGGTGTAACTTTAACAGGCTCGTTCCAGTGCACTGGTTTGGATGGGAATAGGCCCGTTAAAATTATGAACTACTTAGGCAGGGAATCATAAAACACTGCAGTGCAATAAATGTGTATTCCAGAAAGGGACAGGTTTACATGACCAGCCTTCCCATGCTCGGCCTTCCTGCTGGCATGGCACACCTGGAAGATTCCCAGGGATTACAGTGTTTGCCATCCCTTCTGTTTCAAAAGCAGGTGTTTGAAAACGAACATCCATTAAATTCCATTTACCTCCTTACTTGATTCAGGTTTTCAGTTAAGCCAGGAAAGAAATATATTCTTGCTCACCGCCTCTGGAAGTCAGCTGGAAGGGGCTATAGCTGCCAGGCAGGGGGAGAGAGATCTGTTCTTTTACTTGCTGGGAGATAAGCAAAGCTACTGAGTGAACTGAAGAGTTGCCCTCTTAAGTTGTACTTCAGAAGCCAAGCCTTTGGCCCCCAACAGAAAGCAAAAGAAGGATTCAGTGCAGAGATGGAACATATTTATTATTAACTGCTCCTATGTTAAGTAATTTCAGACTTGATCAGATACAGGACTGAGAAATTAACACATTTACCTCACCACAAAAGCTTCAAACATCTCCCACATAGTAGTGATTATATTCCACTGCAAGGTCTTCAGAGTTTACTGTGAAGGCCAGCAGTATCTCAGACACCCTGAAAACATAGTTTTATGTTTTTATAAACTGTAGTAAAATCGTAACGGGATAAAACCTTGCATCGGAGAGCACATTCTTTGAGAATATTTTATATGCACATAAAACATCTGAGAAAATGTTAACATTATGGTCCTAACTGTTTGCACACTGGGACCAGCTAAGGCTTCGGAAGATGCCGTCCATCTGGCGCAGGATTTTCAGCAGGATATTCCTGAGCACATTTCCCGTGCACTGGGGCTGCTGGCACCAAGCGGGGCACACACAGGGCACCGAGCACGGGCTTTGCAGGGACAGTGAGCCCACCCTGCCTTGCCCACACTCGTGTCCCGGGTCCCCAGAGAGGGGACAGCGCCTGCCAGCACCGAGGCAGGGTCCGGGCTGGGGGTCTCGGCTCAGGGGGCAGGAGGGCAGAGCTGGGGGCAGCCCCAGCCTCGCTCCCTGCTCTCACCCCGCCCCACAGAGCAGGGCTCGCCCGCAGCCTGTGCCCAGACCGTTCAAGCAAAGCCATGAGGTGTTTATTGGCCTTCATTACGGAGTGCTGGAGGGTTAATCGGTTCAGGCTGCTCCTGCGGGAGGGATGGGGGCAGGAGGCTGAGGCAAGGCCCAGAGTGCAGGTCCCTGAGCCGGGGAGCAGCCTGGGCTGCCCCGTCCTCACACCCGGACTGCGAGGGGGAAGCTGGAGCCCCTCACGGGCAGCGGGGAGTCCTGGCCGTCTGACCGGGACCTCCCGCTGCTCAGTGTGCCCCGGGGGAGGAGAACGGGCCGTTCCCGGGATGGGAGGGGCTGTTCCCGGGATGGGAGGGGCTGTTCCCGGGATGGGAGGGGCGGTTCCCGGGGCCGTTCCCGGGGCTGTTCCCGGGATGGGAGGGGCCGTTCCCGGGATGGGAAGGGCGGTTCCCGGGGCGCTTCCCGGGATGGGAGGGGCCGTTCCCGGGATGGGAGGGGCGGTTCCCGGGGCTGTTCCCGGGGCCGTTCCCGGGATGGGAGGGGCGGTTCCCGGGGCCGTTCCCGATGGGAGGCAGTTCCCGGGATGGGAGGGGCCGTTCCCGGGATGGGAGGGGCCGTTCCCGGGGCTGTTCCCGGGGCGATTCCCGGGCTGTACCATGTACGGGGTGTGTGTGGGGGGTGTAACTGGTACGGCCAATGGATCGCGGGCTCGCTCCGCGCACGCGCAGGCACGGTGCCTCGGCCTCGCGGCGGAGCGGCGCGTGCGCAGTGTGTCGGCCCGGCGCGGCGCGGGCAGCACTTCCGCCCTCGCCCTGCCCGGCGCGGCTCGGGCGCGTTCGCGACAGCCGCAAAGCGCGCGCGGCGGGGCCGGGCCGGGCCGGGCGCGTTCGCGCAGCCGCAAGCGCGCGCGGCAGGCCGGGCCGGGCCGGCGCGTTCGCGACAGCCGCAAGCGCGTGGCGGGGCCGGGCCGGGCCGGGCGCGTTCGCGACAGCCGCAAAGCGCGCGCGGCGGGGCCGGTGCGGGGCGATGAGGCCGCAGCAGGCGCCGGTGGCGGGCAAGGTGTTCATCCAGCGCGACTACAGCGGCGGCACGCGCTGCCAGTTCCAGAGCAAGTTCCCGGCAGAGCTGGAGAACAGGGTGAGGCGGGCGCGCCGGGGCTCGGCCCGCGGGGCCGGACGGGGCCGGGCCGGGCCGGGCTGGCCGGGCGGGCGCCCCGCGGGGGTTGGCGGGTGTCCCGCCCGGCCCGGGGCCGGTCCCGCGGGGTCCCCGCGCGCGGAGCGGTGGCCCCTGCACAGACCCGCAGCGGAGGCCGCGCGGGGCGGGAGCGGGCGGGGTCCCGGGCGGGGTCCCGGTCCCCGGAAGGCGCCGGGTGCCTGCGCCAACACGGCCGGCTCTGCCCCCGGGCGTTCCCGGCCCGTGGAATCTCGCCCTTCCTGCTGGGCGCGCTGCGAGGCCGCTCAGGCGCTGCCCCGAGTGCTCTGGCTTTGCTCGGTGCTGCCAGGAGCGAGATCCTCAGCTGGCAGCAAAACAAACGCTCCTCGCTGCCCCCTTCTCTTCCTGTCGCTCCGCTTTGTCCTTGCCCTCGTTCCTTCGTTGTGATTGTTGGGGTGTTGTGGTTTTTGGGGGGGTGTTGTGGTTTTTGGGGGGTGTTATCGTTTTGGGGGCTGCTGTGGTTTTTGGGGGGGGTGTTTGGCCAGCTCTGCAGCAGCCCCGTGGGCACCAGGAGTGTCCAGGCGCTGCCCATCTGCCCGTCCCTGCTGGCTGTGAGCTCAGGACGGCTGAGGGTGCTCTCTGTGTGTCCATTGTGCTGCAATCCAGCCCGGCCCGAGCACAGGAGCTGCACCCTGGCACTGGGTGTCCTTCAGGCTGGGGCTCTGAGCTCAGGGCAGCTCTCCAGGAGAGGAGGGGATGTCTGAGGGAGGCTGTGACAGCCCCTCTCGTTCTCCTGCAGATCGACAGGCAGCAGTTTGAGGAGACGGTGCGGACACTGAACAACCTCTATGCAGAAGCTGAAAAACTCGGGGGCCAGTCCTACCTGGAGGGGTGCCTGGCCTGCCTGACCGCCTACACCATCTTCCTGTGCATGGAGACACACTATGAGAAGGTGTGTGTTTGCCTCCCCTGCAGGCAAGGACGTGGGCTGGGGGTTCCTGGGACCTGCAGTGCTGAGGGACACATTCCTTGGGGAGGTGCCTCCGTTCGGGTCCCCTTTGGGGTGTCCCTGGGGTGTCCCTGGGTCCTGCAGGGATTTGCTGTCACCCCAGCTGTGTGCTGGGGCTCTGACCTGTGACTCAGGGAGCCTGGGGAAGGAGCTGTGAGTGCTGTGCTGTTCTGTTGGCAGGTCCTAAAGAAAATTGCCAAATTCATCCAGGAACAGAACGAGAAGATCTACGCTCCCCAGGGCCTCCTGCTGACAGACCCCATCGAAAGAGGGCTCAGAGTTGTATCCTTTTGTGGCTCCTGCCGCTGTGTCCTGGCTCGTGCTCCCTGCTGGTCTCAGTGTGGCCCCTCTGTGCAGGCACAGCAGGCCCTGGGGGTGGTTGTGGTGCTCTCTGTTGTGTCCTGGTCTCTGCTCAGGGTTTGGTGCATTAAGGTTTGGCAGATGGAAAGGCAGTGAAAGCGTGGTGGAGCCCAACCTGACAGGGCATCTCACGTGGGCTGTTCCCTTTGCTTGGGAGCTCTGAGACCCCTTAAAACAGCAGGAGTGAAGCAGAGCTCAAAAGTCCCACCACCCTCATGTTTTCCTGCCTTTTTTTCTGGTTTTGCTTTCATAATCTCTTTATGGTGTGTTTCCCTGACAGCCTTTCTGTGCAGATTGAAATCACCATTTATGAAGACAGAGGTTTGACCAGTGGAAGATAAAACTGTGGAGTCTCAGGTACCTGTTAGCTCGGTCCCAGATCAGTTCCAGCCTCCTCCTGAATGACAAACCTCAGCTGTGCTTTGCCCCTCTGACTCTGTGACACCTCTTTTGCAGACCACAGCTGTACCGAGGGTCCCCTACCTCCTCCTCTAGAGCATCATTCCTCTCTCTGCTGCCAGATCCACAGTGCCATCTACTACAAGGACTAACTTCCTCAGACTGCTCCCCAGGGGTGCCCTAGCTGCTCAGCATCCACTTTACAGCAGATTTGGAAGCAATGAAATCACTTCTTAGTTTTGGTTTGGCTTTGGGATGTATTTTTTTTTTTCCCCTGAAGAGAAAGCAGAAGTGGTAAAGCTGCTTTGTCCCCTGAAAGGAACCTCAGCCCAGCAGAGATTCAGCTTTAGTCCCATGGGTGCAGTGCTGCTCCTCCCTGGCCCTCACAGCCTCCTGTCCTTCAGGGGCTCTGCACAGCTCGGGCTCAGGGCTGGAATTCCCTCCAGTCAGTGCTGGGCTGAGGGCATGCACAGGGCCTCTTCCTGCCCAGGAGTGACCCAAGGCAGTGCCTCCTGGGGGAGACAGAGGGCAAAGTGCTCCCTGTGTGGGTGTTTCGGTTGTCCCTGTGAGGGGAGGGGTGGCAGGACCTGCACCCTGGTGGTCTCTGTGCTCCCCAGGAGGGGCTGGGAACAACGGGCACAGTAAGGTGGATGCTGAGCCAATAAACATAACAACTCCCCCCCCACTCTGATTAATAATATTGAAGTGTACAACTGTTTTCTTTCTGGGTTTATTATCCATAATTTGTAGGAGAACATGGCTTTGACGAGCTGTTAGGTGTCGTGTGAGGTGGTCTCAGTGCCGGTGCTGCAGGAGCAGAGCTGTGCATTCCTTGGCAGCCTCGTGCATGGACATTGCTCAGCACTATGGAGGGCCCACAGTCCCAGCTCCCTTAATCCTTTCCCTTCCATCCTTTTCCCTGATGAAAGCCTGGGTTTGGGTGCCGGGTGTCAGTGTGCAGTTGTAGAAGGAACTCGGGAGTTCAGAAGAGACAACTGAGCAGGGGCCCAGGTGCTGGTTTGGTGGTGCTGCAGGTGCTAATACTGGATCTGGAACTCCAGGCTCATTCCTCAGCCACTGTGGGGTTTTGTTCGAGATTTGTTTAATATTTTCATTGTATAAAAAACTTGTTTTTTCTAAACTGTGTAACAGTGTTTGCCTTTCACAGCTGTTGCAATATTGGCAGAAGTACTGATCAGTAAACCTTTTCTTAAGCCGAGTGTGGGTGTGTGTGGCGGTGCCGGGGGTGGGCGCGGGGCGGGGGTCGCGGCTGTTCCCGAGGAGCCCCCCCGGAACGGTTCGGGCCCGGAACGTGGGGACAGGGGCAGCGGGGCCGGGGGGAGGAACGGGGGGGTGTCAGCCCGACCGGGAGCCGCGGGCTGGATCTGGCTCCTGATTGGCTGAGGGGGCTGCCGCGGGCTGGATCTGGCTCCTGATTGGCTGACGGGTCTGCGGCGCGGGCGGGGCCGCCGTGAGGGCGGCGATGGCGGCGGCGATGGCGGCGCCCGGGGGGGACGGGCCCGGCGCGGACTCGGACGGCGGCAGCAGCGGCGAGGAGCTGGTGCTCACCCCGGCGCAGCTGATCCGCAGCCTGGAGCAGGTGCCGCGCGCTGGGGAGCGGGGGGTGCCGGGCGCCGCGGGGCCGGGCCGTGTGCGGGCGGTTGTGCTCTCCCGGGGGCGCGGGGCGCGGCGCTCCCCGCTCGCACTGGCAGCCTGCCCTTCTTTCAGGCCTGGCTCAACGAGAAGTTCGCTCCGGAGCTGCTGGAGAGCAGACCCGAGATCGTCGAGTGTGTCGTGGAGCAGCTGGACCACATGGTGGGTTGTGCAGGGCTCGGGTGGCACAGGGGCGGCTGAGCTGGCAGACACTGCCCTGGCTGTCTCTGGGAGCTGTTTGCTCTCCTATCTCTGGGACAAAGGCTCTCTGAGCACCCTCTGAGCTTGCCTCGGGGAGGGGCTGAGGGGTACAAGGACACGGTGCTTTGGGTCACCGAGGGCAGCCACAGTCTGATTCCCTGGGTTGTGTGTACAAAATCTGTCTTGCTCTGTGTTTCTTGCTGTTTGACCCTTTGGCCATCTGATGCCTGTTCACTTTTCCCTGCAGGAAGCAAACCTGAAGCGGGCGAAGAGAGGAGACCTGAAGGTGAGCGTGCACCGCATGGAGATCGAGAGGATCCGCTTCGTGCTCAGCAGCTACCTGAGGTGCCGGCTGGTGAAGGTAACGCTGGCTCTGCAGCCCAGAGGGGAGAAAGGGGCACTGCTCAGAAGGAGGGATTCTTACCCATGCAAGGCCTCCTCCCTCAGCAAGGCACTGTGTTCTCTGCCTGTTCTTGGGAGTGCAGCCCAAAGGAGTGCATTCCTTGGACACTTTCCCCTGTGGTGCTGAGGGGACATCACAGTAGTGTTGGTCACGACGCTGTGAGTGTTGTTTCCTTCACCTTCAGCCCGGACTGGCACAGTTGAGTGCTGGCCCATTCTTCCTGAGCCCTGCCATTGCACATGTGGTTGCACAGCCTGGCTGGTGTCACAGTTCGTCCAGGAGCAGGGGTTTGGGCTGGCCTGGGGTGCTCGTACAGCTGCTGCAGGGGAACCCAATGGAGAGTGGGATTTGGGCACTGAGCTCCTGGGAGAGGTCTGTATCATTCTTTTGGGTTTTGTTCCAATATCAGATAGAGAAGTTTTTCCCCCACATCCTGGAGAAGGAGAAGTCTCGAGCTGAAGGGGAGCCCTCCATCCTGTCACCAGAGGAGTTTGCTTTTGCTAAAGAGTAAGCAGGTTTTCGATGTGTCTTCCTCCCTTTTTTGTAGATTTCAGAACTCACCTGTGTGTTATGCTGAACAGTTCTTGAGACTGAGAACTTTAGACAGGTCTGAAGGATCAGTGTGTTTTACCAGGAGGTTTTCCTTATGGGCAGGAAAAGAGAGTTGAAACAAAATAACCCAGAGTCAGTTACCAGGGTAAGCCAGGGGCCTGTCTCTGGCTGTGCCTGTGGGACCAGGAGCTGTTGCTGTTGTGCAGCTTTGTGTTCCATTCAACCAGTCAGTGCTCCGATGGTTTGTTCCAGGTACATGGCGAACACAGAGGCTTACCTGAAAGACGTGGCCCTAAAACACATGCCACCCAACCTGCAGAAAGTGTCTCTCCTAAAGTCAGGTGAGTCCATCCCGGTTAAGCTGAAAACTGTGGCACCAGGGCAAAGTGTGGGAGCGCAGAATGTGAGGGCTTGTCCTCCAGCTGCTGCTCAGGAGGGGCAAAGATGGTGTGCTGACAGGGTTGTAACAGCTCCGTGCTGCTGCCGGAGGGTCCCCTGTCCCCTGCTCTGCAGTCCTGCCTTGCCCTGAGCAGAGCATGGGGTTCCTTTTGCTGTGCCCTGCTCTGCAGTCCTGCCTTGCCCTGAGCAGGGCACACGAGTGCTCAGGGATGTCTGGGGTTCCTTTGCTGTGCTGCAGAGGAACAGCAGCGGGGGCTGAGCCTGTGCTCTCACTCATTGTGTGCAGTTCCGAAGCCCAACCTGGACTCCTTTGTGTTCCTGCGGGTGCTGGAGCGGCAGGAGAACATCCTGGTGGAGCCCGAGACGGATGAGCAGAGGTGGGTGGGCTCGTCCCCGCGCGGGTGGGTGTCGCGGTGGGCGTGGGCTGCAGCTGAGGTGCCCCTGTGCCCGCAGGGAGTATGCCATCGACCTGGAGGAGGGCTCGCAGCACCTGATCCGCTACAGGACCGTGGCCCCGCTGGTGGCCTCGGGAGCCGTGCAGCTCATCTGAGGGGGAGCGGTAAGTACGGGGCAGGGGGAGCAGCCACCACGACCCCTACACACACACACACACAGCCTGGGGACCCCCGGAGCTCCCTGTGGGGCTGCCCAGGCCAGGTCCCCTCTAGGGGAAGCCAGGGTGCCCTGTGGCACCTCAGCACCCGTCAGGGGTGTGGGCAGGCAGGGGCTCGTGTTGGCCGGGGCAGGGTCCTCTCTGCGTGGTCTATGTGAGGGGTGTCTGGGGAGCACATTCTCCTGCCAGGCAGGGGGTGACATAGGGCATCTTGTAGTGTGAGTGGCTTTGCATGTGTGGTTTATAGTGTGCCTAATTAATCCATTTAGGTAAAGGAGATTCTTTCAAGGATAGACGTTAAGAGGAGGCAGGGTTTAATCCTGAGGAATCAGTAGCACATTCCCCTGCACAGTCCCCCAGGAAGGGCTGTGGATTGTGCCCTGCCCGTATTTACAGCCAGACAGCTTCACAGAGGTGACTGGAGCTCCCAGCCAAAGTCCTGGTTAATCTGCTGCTGCGGAAGCGTGCGCCAGGGATCTGCCTGAGCAGTGTCTGGGTGGCACGTCTGGCCGCTTTCTCCTTGGCCCTGTTCAGTCTGAGTGAACACTGGCCCAGCCAGCCTGTGCTTGCCACCACGCTGCGCCTCACGTGGCTGCCGCACTGCGAGCGTGCGTGGCACTGTCCTCCTCCAGCAGCTCAACCTCAGCTGACCTGGTGGTGTGCAGAGTGCCTGTGGTGCAGCTCCTCTCTGCAGCCTGGCAGCTGGCACACAGCAGTGTCCTCACGGGCTGGGCAGGAGCAGACGTGGCTGGGAGGCTGAGATCGCTCAGCCTCCAAGTGAGAGTCATTTGTGGCACACCTCAAAATGTTGCTGCCTGCTTTTGTGTCCTTCCATGACTAAATACCGGGACACCTCTGGAACTGCTAACACTGCACCTCTGTTCTGGCTGTGCTGGGGGAAGGATGTGTGTCCACAACTTTGAGAAAGTGATGTTTTTTGGCTTGTACTTTTAGGTGGAGAAGACACAGCAGTGCATCCACCTTAATCTGTGCCCCAGGGAGAGACTGGGCAGCTTTCCTAGGGCCTGCTGTAAAACCTGGGCTCAAATATGTTCCCTGCTGCCCCTGGTGAGGTGGCTTCGGTTTGCTGAGTGATTAGCTCTGAATGCAAAGTAGGAAGATGGTGAAAGAGGTCACAGGGAGGGCACTGATGGTGAGCTGTGATTTCCCTACCTGAGCCGGATTTGCTCTCCCAGGGTCCAGAAAAAGGTGGGGCAAATGGTTCCATTGCTAGGAAGACACTTTCAGGTGTTTTGCTGACAGGCTGGGGCTGAACAGGTTTCTGCCAGTTGAGCACTGGGTTCACCCTCACTTTGGTCATGCCATGAGTGGTGTCTTGCCTTGTACTGCAGACATTCAGACACGGTGGTGATGAAAAGCCATGTAGAAATACTGATAGGTCGGTCAGTTGTGTCGTGAGCTGATGAAAATCTGTGCTGTCAGCAGGAACGATCAGGGCTGCTTAGCATAAATGGCTAGACAGCTCTGGGGAGATTAGCAGGGAGTGCAGGGCAGGGGTGATCTGATTTAGGTGACAGTCTTTAGTGTCAAGGAGTCACATGTGAGCTGAACAGTGAAGGTGATTTTGAATATGAATGTCAGGGACACCACAGCGCTCGGATGTGAGCAAATTTCTTTCTCAGTGCACACAACCAGGATAAGAAGCTCCTGAGGATGAACCCAGGGTCTGGGGATTTTTCTGTGCTTAAACACCCTGGAAATAGCTGTCTTTGGACAAGCACCTGAAAAGGGATGTACAAAACCATTCTGAGCTTCCCCCACTGAATACAAGGCCAGAGGAACGTGCTCCTCTTCCTCCCGGAGCTTCCTGCAGGTGCTGGTAGTTCTGTAAACATTTGTCTTCCAAGAGCACTGGCCTTTCTCTGGCCCCAGGAGCCCTTCCAGTGCCGTTCCCCCGCCGGTCCCCCCGGGCCCGGTGCTGGTGCCCCCGGGGGTCTCCCCGTTCCGTGCCCGCTGCGGGGCGTGGCGGGGGCGTGGCCGGGGGCGTGGCGGCGGCGCTGATTGGCCGGGGCGGGGTGTCCGGGCGCGGGCGCTCCCACGGCCCCATTGATGCGGAGCCGCCGCGGCGGGAGCGGAGCGGAGCGCGGGACGGGATGAGCTGCGGCGAGTGAGCGGGGCCGGGGCGGGCGGGGCCGGGGGGCTCGCCGGGGCTGGCGGCCGGGGCCTGACCCCCTCTTCGCCTCTAGGCTTTTCCAGGTGTGCAGCAGGCGGGCTGTCGCTCCCCCAGCCATGCCCGTGGACCTGGCCGTGCGGCTCTGCCTGAGCCACTCGCCCCCCATCCGCAAGCTGCTGAACTCCTACGAGGAGCTGCGGGGCAACCGAGGCCGCAAACCCCTCCGATCCTGTCTCAACCAGAAGCTGAGCGCAGAACCCGAGCCCGAGCGGCGAGACAGCACCAAGAGCTCCAAGGGCCAGAAGAAGAAGCGAGTCGTGTTCGCTGATATGAAGGGGCTCTCGCTGACCGCCGTCCGCTTCTTCTCAAGGATTGAGGAGGACCTTTGTGACCTGCAGCACGCCCTGTCAGACCTCGCCTCCTTCCGCCCTAGGCTGTGGGACTCACGCCCAGAAGCGTGCAGGTATGTGCTGGACTTCCCACAGCCCTCAGCGGACTACACGGCTTTCCGCAGCAACCTGCACAGGAACCTCGTCTGCCTGGAGAGCTGTGTGATCCAGGACCGCGTTCTGTCGGGGACAGTGAAGGTCAGAAACATTGCCTACGAGAAGAAGGTGGCAGTCCGCATCACCTTCGATGGCTGGAAGAGCTTGCGGGACGTCCCCTGCCAGTACATGCACAGCACGTACGGCTCAGCTGACACAGACATCTTCTCCTTTGAGCTCACCCTGCCCAAGCCAGCCAGCGGCCGCAGGGCCACAGAGTTCTGCATCTCCTTCCAGTGTGGACAGAAGACCCACTGGGACAACAATCACGGGAAGAACTACAAGATCTGCCATGTGGGCGGATCCTCCCGTGCCGTGAAGGGGGCCTGGGAGCATCTTGGCACCTCTGGGGCTGCTGCCCTGGTCCTGTCTCGCTTGCAGACCTGGCGGTGTTCAGAGACCCAGGCTCCTTACTGGTAGGAGGGCGGTGTGTGAAGGCACGTAGGTCCCCTCCATGTCCCAGACATGGCACAAGAGTCTCGGGGAAAGGTCAGCTGCAGAAGATGCTGCTCACAGTTCTGTTAGCTCCTCCACAGCTCTATGAGCAGCTGCTGGTCTCTGCAGAAGCTTCTTCACTCCTGGCTCCTGCCACAGAGGCTGGAAGCTGCTACTTGGAGCGACTCCTGTAGGTTCTTGAGGCAGTGCAAGTGACAAGGAACGGGCTGTGGGCTGGAGCCCGCGGCCGTGCCTGAGCCACCGGGGGGCTGCGGGGGCTGGTGCTGCCCAAGTGCCTTGTGCAGAGGGGGCTGCTGGGGAGGGGGTGGGCTCATGCTCCGGCGTCCTGAGAAGGGCTTAGTGCAGGGTCACCGGGCGTCCAGTCATTGGTGCTGTAACGGGGAGTTTTAATAAAGTGATGGTGCCTCGCGACTCCTGCCTCTGCCTCCTGCTCTTCATCCTCCCCCTGCTCTTCATCCTCTTCCTGCTCCTCATCCCCCTGCTCCTCATCCTCCTCCTGCTCTTCATCCCCCTCCTCCTCTTCATCCCCCTCCTGCTCTTCATCCTCCTCCTCCTCTTCATCCCCCTCCTGCTCCTCATCCTCCTCCTGCTCTTCATCCCCCTCCTGCTCCTCATCCTCCTGCTCTTCATTCTCCTCCTCCTCCTCCTCCTGCTCTTCATCCTCTTCCTCCTCCTCCTCCCGCCCCCCCACGGGGCGGGACCGAGCGGGCTGGCGCCCCCTGCCGGCTGCGAGGGCAGCGGGCCGACCCTGCGGGCGCGGCCCCGCGGGCGGCGCGCTGACGTCACGCCGGGCGCGCGGCGCGGGTGCGCGCACGGCACGTGGCGGGGCGGAGCGGGGCCCGGCGGCGGCGGCGGCGGCAGGTGAGGGTGAGGGAGAGGGAGATGAGGGTGAGAGAGAGTGAGAGGTGGGTGAGGGAGGGGGAGAGGGAGGGAGTGACCGACCGACCCACCGGCCGGGGCGGCCCCCGCGCCCCGCCCCGCCCCGCCCGGGGCGGCCGGCTGGGGCCCGGCCCGGCCGCGCACCGTTATCTCCGGGAACGCGGCCTCCCCGGCCTGGCCCTGCCGCCCCCGGCGCCGGAGGTGGCCGGAGGGCCGAGCCCCGGCCCTGCCGGGATGGCGGAGCCGAGCCCGGTGCTCCGGGCGGGCGCTGCCGCCGCTGTGCGGGCTCCGCTGCGGCCCCGAGGCGGCGGTGCGGGCCCCGGGCCCGGCGGGCGCTGCCCCAGCCCCGGGCGGGGCGCACGGGCAGGGCCGCCCCGGCCCGGCGGTGACACGGTGCACGGCAGCGATAGCTGAGCCCTCGCAGGGCCTCGCCGCCGGCTCGGGGCCGGTCTGACCTGTTCGCCGGCTGAGTCCCGGCTCGGATGGGTGACGGCTCCGGCATAATGGGCAGCTGCACGCGCGGGTGACGAGCTGCCTCTCCCAGGACACGGTCTGCGCGCGTGTCTTTGAAGCACTCACCATATTCTTAGCGTTACTGGTAGAGCAGTGTGTAACCAGCAGCTGGAACACGCTGTAGAGGGGAGCAAGAGGATCTTCACAGAGTCTCCCCTGCCCCGTGTGCTTATCAGGTACCTGTTAAATCCCATCCTCAGGCTGACACTCCATAGCCAGGTGAAGGTGGTGTCCGGGGGGGAGTCTCCCCCGAGCAGACTTGACTGTTGACACAAGCCTTGGCCCTGTGCATGCACATCCTCCCCCAACAGGCCTGCGCTGCAGGGTGTGTGACCTTTTGACTGGTCCCCGTGCGCCAACAAATTCCTCTTTGGCTAATCATCATCAGTAATTCTCCCCCTGGGGTAACTTCCTGTCCTGAACTGTTTGTAAAGCTGCCCTGTGTGACTGAGGATGAGATGTACAGGAGCAGAGGAAGTGATGTCTTCCCAGGAATTTGGGTACCTGGCTTCCTCAGTGCTCTGGGATGCCCTGAAATGAGGGAGGTGATAAGATCTTTGTCACGAGGAAGGGCTCTCTGTCACTCCTTTCCTGTACTTGGGACCTGATTGCAGCGTCCTGTGCCTTAGGCATGGTTGTGGATGAGTCTGCTCCATCTGAGTCTGAGGTGTGCATGGTATGAAAACACAGGACAAGTGGCAGCAGGGGTGATTCCTGAGTCGGTGACAGTGCCAGGCGGTAGCTGGAGTACTGGTCCGAGTCTTGCTGTGTCTCAGGAGCTTCTCTGAGTGGTGTGACCTCACCCAAGCACTGCCTTCCAGGTTCCAGAGCCCACTGTCCCTGGCTTCCTGCCACCGTCTCTGCGCTGACACCTCTGCGAGCTGCTGACTTGTGTTGCTCTTCCTCCGCTGCTGCTGGTGGCATGCGAGTGCCTCGTCTGCCAAGAGGCCAGCTCGCTGTTTGAAGAGCTTTCCAGGGACACAGGCTCCGTTCGTGTCTGTGACAGCCCTCCAGCCCGAGTGGATGCCAGCGGCCTCCAGCACTAAACTCGTTCCAGGCGTCATGCGAGGACCTGCGCCGGCACCCTCGTGGGGAGAACAATAATAGCTCCAGCAAGTGCCAACTCCCTCCATCTCCTCCAATGCAGGCTCAGGGATGGACTCCACCTTGTCCCTCTGAAGAGACTCTGCATGCTCTCAGCAGCCAGGAGGGGATTCTGCTGCCAGCTTCTCCACGAGCTGCCCCGCCGCAGGACTCGCTCGGCAGCAGCCCGGGAGGGGCCCCGCGGTCGTGTCGCTGCCGTGCCCGCCGCGCGCCCATGGACGGACCGGTGCGCGTGTGCCCTCTGCTCTGAGCCCCTCGGCCCGCGCCGCCCCGGCTCGCCTGGGCTCCTGGCACATTCTTGGCTTGTTCTCCCAAGTGCTCTCCCTGATCCTGTTGCGTTCCCTGTCTCTCAGAGCCCCAGAAGGATGTGAACTTTGGAATGGGGTCTGTGAGCAGGCTGCGGACTCGGTGCATGTGTGAGACTGTTGCTGAGTAACAGGACTGGTTCTTCGCTGCAGACAGTCCTTCTGTCTGGCTGCAGGGCCCCAGCCTTGCCTGGGCCCTTCACCATGTTCCTCCTGCTCCCCTTTGACAGCCTGGTGGTTAATCTCTTGGGGATTTCCATAACTGTCCTCTTCACTCTGCTTCTGGTTTTCATCATCGTGCCAGCAATCTTTGGAGTCTCCTTTGGCATCCGCAAAGTTTACATGAAGACTTTATTAAAAATTTTTCAGGTAAGTCATGTTTTCAGAATTTCCTGTGTGTTTGCAGGGGTTTTGTCAGGCGTGGTCGTGCTCGGCAGGGCATCGTGAGTGACCAGGCTGTTGGTGTTATGGTGAGGCCAGATGACCCATTTGGCTCGTCTTGGCCAAATGTGGTTTACCAGACCTCTGTCTGTGGGCTGGTTTCTCCCTCTAATTAATCTAGTAAGTCTTCAAGTAAAGAAATAGGCTGGTGAGGCTGGGCAGTCAGCAGGGATGCAGCAGGGTCTGAGGGACAGCTTGGAGGGGTTCCTGTCCCAGATGGGGCAGAGAGCTGGTACACCTCGATGTGTGTGCCATGAGGAGGGACTGCAGCCAGCAGGTTGCTCCCCTCCAGGACATGTTTGGATGAAGCAAAAGCAGGAGGTAAGGCAGGACTTTTGTCCTGCAAGCCCTGAGTGGTCTGTGGCCAGAACCCAGAGCTCTCAACGTGCTTCTGTCCTGGAGTGTCGCCTGCTGAGCCATGTCTGGACCTGCCACCTCAGAGGACGACCAGCAGCCCTTGCCGACCCTCTTGGCACAGAGAGACCAAGTGGAATTTTCCAGCTTGGGGTCATGCTGTTCCCTTGCCTGCCTTTGGCGGTCTAATTTTATGGCTGTCTCTGAGCCAACACCTCTCCTTGAAGCAAGTCCCTGACCAGACCAGAATTTTTTATTTAAGAGTAGTAGGTAAAGCCTACAGCACCCTACCCTGGCAGCCCAGGGGAAAGGTAAAGGGTTACCCTGGGCTTGCTGGGGAGGTTTTAGGCTCTTAAATGTGGAGTTCATGCTGCTAAAGGCTTTATATGGTACAGCTACTGCTGTTTGAACAGGGCTGGTCATCCTCAGAGCAGGTTGTGATATAATTGTGTACTGGTTGGCTTGGGAAGACAGCCCTGGAGCTCACAGTGTTTGGCTCTTTAAACTCTGAGTCCTCCCAAAAGCCTGAGGTGTGAATGAGAAGACTCTGGTCTTCGTGAGAGGCTTTGCTAACACAGATGTCTGAAGACCTGACTTCAAATTTACTGACTGAAGCAGGGGGGAAAATAAGAAGTCTGGTTTATCTGAAATGGAAATTTTCACCTTGTTTTCTTTTTTTTTTTCCCCTTCAATTCAGGAACATTTACTCTCAATACCTATTTTGGTGTTTGAAACTTTTTCTGAAAAGAGTGGGAAGTGTATTTCAGCTTTTGTCAAAGAATCTTAGTGGTGGGATAGAGGAGCACATGCACAGCTGCTCCCAGAGTTGGTGGGAAATTTGCTCGTTAGGTTTGGTCATTCAGAATTGCGTGTTTGGGGGCCGTTATCTGCCCAAATGATTTTCCCAGCTCTCGAGGCCGGTGTTGGGAGCCCAGAGGGGCAGCAGTCCAGTCTGGCAATTGGTGGGACACAGCCCGAGCCACGGGGCCTGTCTGGCAGCGACACACCCGTGTTGGTGGGGAGGGAGGGCACCTGCCTGGTGCTGCCCAGGTGGGGGGCCGGGTTTGCTGCTGCTGCAGTCAGGATGGAGATGTGCTGGGCTTGCCATGAATGCCTTCTCCATAGGCTGCTCAGCTCCTGCGGGGTCAGAGCTCCTCTGCTGACCTCTCTTGGGATGGCAGTGTCTAGGCAATCTTCTGCAATCCTGCAGTTCCTGCTGCTGGCAGAGCGGCTGTGAGGTGAGCCAGGCGCTCCATGTGCAATTAGCATTCCCACATCGCTGCCTCCTGATCTGCTGCTGGCATGGGCTGAGAGCAGGATGCCAGGAGTTCCCAGCAGTTCCCCTCCTTCACAGATAAGCATGTTGTATACAAGTCCTCCCAGGCCTGTGTGATGCAAGGAGTGACGGGCTGCGAAGGTTTCTTGAAGGGCAGGCAGGAAGACTGCCCAGAAATCCAGCCTGCAGCTTGTGCTGGTGCCCTTGAAAAGTAGCTGAGAGAACAGGTAGTCCAGACATGGGATTTGGCAGCCAGCTGTCTGAGGGTGCTTGCTGCTGCTGTTTAGGGTGGATTGGTGAGCTGAGAAGCAGCAGCAGCCATCAGCTGAATTGGAGGGGAAAGGTTCCCATCCCATCAGGTTCCCATCAGCCTGGTGTTTTCAGCAGCAACCTGAAAACACAGTCTCTGCTTTGA